TTTTGAGACTGTAAGTACCAAGAGTTGAACTTGTGCCCTGCCAAATTTGAAGTCAGAGTCAGTGTTAATTATCCAACTGACCTAAACCCGTGCTTTAATTTTGTGTTCTTACTTAGAGGTTTGTTAATTTATTCTGAAAGTTCATTAACAAATTCAGATATTGTATTATATTAGAACGAAATCATAAGCCAGCTGTAGAATAATTGAAATAATTAATTATAGTTAGTTTTAACTGTTAATCTATAATAATAAGTTCCTTCTTCAAAAGAAAATAATTTAAACAAAAAGTTTTACGATTTAAAAACGTATTTTTGCCATAGAGAGCCACTTAACAAATTGCAACAACATAGCCTAATGTTATCCTTCTACATTGTATAATATTCTCTAAAAATTTCTTCAAGCTCGTTTGAATAGCTTCTGATTGCAAAGGAAAATCTTATTAAATAAAATTTCATATCGATATAAATGTGATACAAAGTATAGACGTAAATATGTATTTTTTTGGAATTCAGTTTATTTATGCATTTTAATTATTCTTTAGGTAATTGGTGGCTTCATGTCAAATGTTATTAAAAACCAAAGATGAGTGAAATCTCGGAAAAAATTCGATATGTCTTGCAATTTTACTTTGATAACAGGTGGAACGCGTCGAAGGCGTGTGAAAAAATTTGTGCTGTATACGGTGACGATGCTCTTTCGCAATCAACTGCCAGAAAATGGTTCGCACGGTTTCGTTCGGGAAATTTAGATGTGAAGAATGCTCCTCGCTCTGGTCGACCTATCACAGATAAGGTCGATGAAATTATGGAAAAAGTTCAAATAGACCGACATATAAGCAGTCATGACATCGCTAGGGAATTAAAGATCAATCACAATACTGTTCTAAACCATTTACACAAAGCTGGTTATAAAAAGAAAATCGATGTCTGGGTGCCCCATGAACTGAGTGAAAAAAGTTTAATAAACCGAATTTCTATATGCGAATCACTGTTGAAGCGGAACGAAATTGAGCCATTTTTGAATCGAATGATAGTAAGCGATGAAAAGTGGATCACATATGATACACGTAAACGTTCTTGGTCAGAAACAGATGAAAGAGGAACATTACCAAAGCCAGAATTGACGAAAAAGAAGTTAATGTTATGTATTTGGTGGGATTGCAAAGGTATTATCCATTACGAATTACTACGGCCTGGTCAAACGATTGATTCGAATCTGTACTGCCAACAATTATTGCGATTGAAAGAAGAAATTGAGAAAAAGAGACCGAAATTGATCGATAATAATCACGTTGTGTTTCATTATGACAGCACTAAGCCACACACATCTTTAATGACCCGTCAGAAATTGAGAGATCTTGGCTGGGAAGTTTTAATGCATCCACCATATAGTCCTGACATTGCACCGTCAGACTTTTATTTGTTCCGATCTCTGCAAAACTCTCTCTCAGGAATAAAATTGTCTTCGGAAGAGGATTGCGAAAAACACCTGCATCAGTATTTTAAAGATAAAACACCGGATTTCTACAGAGAGGGAATAATGGGTCTACCCAATAAATGGCAGAAGGTAGTGAGTAAAAATGGACAATATTTAGACTAATCGAAAATATCTTTAAAGTAAATTTTAAATAAAACAAAACAAATAAAACACTAATGGACTCAAAATTGATGTAAAATGTGATGTTAAAGAAAGAATATATGTGAAATATATAAATTGCTAAATTAAAGAAAGCTAACCAAAATTCCTAATATAAAAAACAATAACGTTTAACACACTGTAAAAAACTAAAACGTATTATGTTTTCTATGGATGTATAATTTTTATTAAATGAGATTTTAAGAGAATTTTGACTGAACATTGTAAAGATTTAAACATTGTAAATATATATGTATATATATGTAAATCATATAGTTAACTCCTATATATAAAACACAAAATAATTCTTTTATTTTAGATTAAAGCGAAGGGAATTAGAAGTTTTTTTTTATACGTGAAGTATTTTTTTTTGTACCCTGAAGAGAGCTACTGTTTTTTTCTCCCGTTAGGAGAGGGACGTTTGAACTCTATATATAGAATAGATTCTGCGATAGATGACATTTACACTGTCAAGTCCAAAATAAATAAAAATAGTGTTAGTATTTTTTCTCATAAATTAGGTCTTAGCATCTTTCTTCGGCAACCAAATTATTGTGTCTTTCAGGCAGAAATAATAACACAAATGGGTCTTATGCAAGAACATCCTCGAACAGTCAAGCTGCTATTAAGTCTCTAGTAAGCACTACTGCTTCATCCTTAACAGTTCGAGAATGCCGAGTGTGTCACTGTCCAGCTCAGAAAAGTACCTGAATATGATGATACCTCGGGTAACTGGCTAGTCACTCTGCTCCCTGACACTCATGTCTCGGAAATTGGAATCCCAGTTGCAACGACCAAGCCAGCAATTAAAGTATGGCTAAACAAACTTTGGCAAATAGTCCCACCTGCACTACGACATCAATTCTGATACATCTCACTGCTTTAACACTAGCTTCAGCCGGAGTCGTGTGGGTTTGTGGATGAAGAGGAAACTATAGCAAACATAAGAGTACTGTATGTACTGATCAATATTTTTTTTTATATTTATTTATAATTGCATCTGCCTTACAGGAAATGGTAATAAGTAATTGGAAGAATTTTAGTATATAAGGATTATACATAAGATTAAATCAATATTTAACAAATACAATTTTTTCAATGAGTAAGTTAAGAACATATGTGTACTGATCAATTTAAGATTATCTTTTTTACGAAACGACTTAACTTTGTAGAGAAAAATTTTCTTGTTACAGCTGTTCTGTTAAATATTGATGCTTGAACATTGCTATTGATATGACACGCAATGGGATATATCAGAACTATAAAAGAAAATCTGTTTTGTATCTACTTTGCTGTCAAGAAAATTTTCTAGTCGCAGTTTTTCAGATGAGTATCGAAGTTTGTCCATTTATATTTCGATAATAAGTGCAGTGGAGATTATTCGGCAATTCAACCTTATGTGAAACCGCTTCGTGTTGTAGGAATGATTTATTTGTTGCAGTTATCCAGTTGAGTTTCAATCCTTAACCATTGGTGTTTCATTTTGCAGCGCGGAGAGCTGTTATAATTAATAAATATTTCCTTAGTCTTATAATTGTAATTCATTTGTTATTTTTAACTTAATGCTTTCATTTCCAAAAAAAAAATTTATTTCTATACAACAGCAATCTGAACTAAAATACAATTTCGATCAATTTGTTTCAAATACTGTTTTTTATTTAATAATTCTGTTTGTTTAAATTTATTTAATTATATTGTGTTTATTTTAAACATAATAATGAACATATATATCAATCAATCATTTAAATTGTTTATGTAAAATTGTTGCAAACATTATTTATTATATTTCGTTTTTTATACTTTGTTGTTATGCAAAAAGAAAAAGCACAAATACAAATACAAACTAACTTTAACAGGAAGCTTGAAAATTTACATATATGTATATAATAAAAGCAAACAACAATAATGCAAAATATATAGCATATAGGTAGTAATATTTTTAGTAATGAAAAATCTGCATATTTATATATTTGTGTATAATATTAATGTGTAATGAACTGAAAGCGTACAAAAAGAAATTAGAAATACGGCAAACGATCTTAAAGTAATTCCACTGTTTTTATATCATTTTATAAAATGTTAATTAATAAATATCCAACGTTTTTTTTTTTATTTTGTTTTTGTTTAAATTTAAAAATAAAATTATATTTACTAATTAATTAAAAAAGAAACCACCATTATATTTAAAAGTACCAAGACAAACACTAGTGCGAACTCATTTAGAGCTGACGAAAAAGAAATAACAATTATTTAAGAGCAAAATCCCCCTTTTGCTGCTCCTTTAATCCAACAAACTAAACAATTTATAAATGTGCAATTCATATGGAAACTAGCACGTTACACTTTATACAGTGAAATTATTTTAAATATTTAATATATACACAATTTCAGTGCTACAAAATGTAATGATGCTGAGTGCAAGTCTACATAAGAAGTGCACATTTTTGTTTACAATACTTGGTTTTTTTTTTTTTGAATAACAGTTGAATTACATTTGCGGTATTTCAAACTTGGCAGATTGCACTTTACAAACTTTTTACAAAAATTAAATCAAACTATTATTTTAAATAAATTTACAATTCTTACAAATGCTTAACAATAGGCAACAATAATTGATAGATAGAGTAAATACATAAAAATCATAAACTTTTACATCGAAATATCTAATAATGAAGAATAAAAATAACACATAAAGAACATAAATTAAAGACAAAATTAATAATAATAAACATTCAAAAAATTTACAATTGAACAGAACAGAAAAAAAATTATCAACAAAAGCAGCTGGTAAAGTTATAAAATTTTGTACAGGAATGTATGTATATATCATATATCTTTACAATTTAAATATAAATTTGATATAAATCTTTAATTTTGTTTTAATTCATTAGTTAAACTTTAACAAACTGTTTTTACTCGGTACTTTTGTATTTTTTTTTTTTTATTTAAATAAAATTCTATTTTGTTAGTTTAAATTTAAAATTCAATATTGCAACTTTTTCCAAATGTCCTAGTACTGTAGATTAGTATTTAATATGTATATATATATTTATATAATTGCATGTAATTATATTTATAAATTGTAACTCATAGTACCACAATAAATTTATTGGCTGTTTTTGTGGTCATTTTTAAATAATATTTGAATTATTTTTAAATTTTCTATATGTGTATGTATATATATTATGCATTATTATACCAATTTTGAAAAATTTTATTTAGTTTATTGTTTTATTTAGGATGCTTTTTTGAAAATTAATTATTTAATCGGTGAATTTACGATTGGTGTTGCGTCCAAACAATGCATTACGGATTTCTGGCACAAGTTGTTGTGAAATGAGGTCCAGTCTGGACTCCAGTGTATTAGGTACCTGTCAAGCAAAATTTAAATTATTATTAAAATGCGATTTTGTAAGTTTTACCATAATTTTTAATATAATATATTGTTCAACTAATAAAAATAGTTTTAAAAATTAAGTTAATATTAATAAAAATTATGAATTTTTTTAAACGCTTTCACTTTGTTATTACATCCATATAGTAGCCATAAAGTATATAGTTAAAGAGTTGAAAAGTAAAGTAAATTTGAATTTAAAAGAAAAAAATATGTCCTTTTTTTTCATTCATATATCGTATTAACAGCCTAATATAGCTATAATAGGTGAATATTAACAAAATGAATGTATTATTTAATAGAACGAGAGGCAACGCTGTTGTATTATTAACATATTCTTTGCTCTACGCACAGATCCCAAAAGTACAGTAGGAGACTAATTAACAAAGTAATGTCGATAACTTTAAGTATATCTTGGTTAGACAAGGATCTTCAATCGCAGGAATAGTTAAAAATAAATATGATAATAATGACTTATATACGATAATTTCCTTTTAAGGATCTATTCTTATTTCACAGATATGGTTTTACATATCTCTGATAGGAACTCGACATTGTTTACATAAGATTTGATTAAGGCCGTTTGCGAGTTCGAGAAAATTGAGGGAAATAATAAATTATGTCGATATAACAGTGATGTTGGTATTTACCAGAATTTCGAGCAAGGTAAATTAGATAAAAGTAGGTAATTTAGGTGTTACCATTGTGAAAATGTTATAAGATGTTTAATAAATATAAATAAATTTGAAAATTTTTAATCAAAAATAATAAATAAATATTTATATAAGTGCATTGCAAAAAATGCCTAGGAAATTTCAGTTTACTTTATCTCAATTTACTCGAACTCGCACACGGCCTAAACAAAAATCATTTGCAAGAAAAAAAGTTTAAATAGCTAACTGATAGACTAAGGAAGTATATGAAGCAAGCTAATGTAATACAGGCTAACTGATATACTAAGGAAGTGAAGTAATACATAATAAGATAAAAAAAGTAAAAACATCAAACACTTAAAAAGTATCATTCGAAGTTACATCAGTAAATTGTGTTCGGGAAATATAGATTATGCCCAAAAAAATTGTATTTATTAAAATAAAAAAAATATAGATAATCTAACTTATAGTTTGAAATTTCCCGAATATTTTATATATATCCCGTTTATATATATTTATATATATATATATATATAAATTCATTTTGATTCATGTTTGCTGTAACTTACCTTGACGCGACCATTTAAAGCAATTAATTCAACACCGCCACATGTATCTGCCGGCAAATAATTGTCAGTAGCCACTGTGATATTAACATCTTGTTTGATGTTTTCGGTATATTGTTGAGTTGCATGGGGTAGTACCTCTTTAATTAAATCTAAATCATCTTCACGGCAGCGTAAAAGAACTTGTGGCTCCATAACCTGATACAATGCTTGTACAATTAGTTTTTGTAAGACCTGTTTGTATTCGGCTGGATTTTTGGTGACCTCACCGAGACGACAACGAGCGTCTTCCAGAACGTTACGCACATGATCTTCTCTGACTTTGAGCACCTATGAAAAGTTTTATGTATCAGTACTGGGGCGACTAATATGATTCTATGTTATTGGCTTACTTTCAAACGTGCTTGATTAAGCATATTCGATGACTGAATTTTCTTCTGGAGTTCAACTTGTTTCTCCTTCTTTTCATAGTATTCCATAATCTTAAGACGTTGCTGTTGTACCAGACGTCCCTTTTCAATGTTAAATTCTTCTTCGGCTTTAGCATCGATTTCCTCGGCTTTTTCATTGGCCTCTTGCTCAATGAATGCCATCATATGCTTAATCTAGAAACACAAATTTGTTATTCATATTATAAAGAATGCAGTTGTAATAACTTATATGTTGGTATACCTGCGATCATAATGTTAATGTTACATAATATAGCTTACTGATATACAAAAAAAGCGATGGTGTTATTGTATTAAAGTTATCGTCGTATGATCAATCACTTAATAATATATTTAATAAGTTTTAAGCTTGACAAGTGGATGGAATAGATATTATTGAAAATATGTAGGAGTAGGGACAAAGTCCTGGTAGGGAAAGGAAAAATTTTTGTATTTTACATTAAGAACTTCTGATCTATTGCAAGGCAAGCAGCAACAGATGAAATCATTTGGAAAAGATAAAATATAGAAAATTTTCCAATTGGGAGTCCAATATAGCATAATATTCGATATGTCATTGCATAGCACATGATTTAAAATGCTATTAATTAAGAAAATATTCAAAATATTTGAAAATATTCCAACAAATATTGTATTTATCCAAATGAATGGTATTGTATGATAACAATAAAGAGCGAGATAACTGATGAGCATTAGCTCTCTACTTAGCTACTCTCACATACAGCACCACATACAACCTTCATTGGGTCACATGACTACGGTTTAAGGCAATTTTTCTTTTCGGTATAACAAATACGTAACCCGTTAAAAAGTATCAAAAAAAAATATATCAAAACACCTATTATTAAAAACATAAAAATTAACTAACATAATTACATATTGCGATTTAAGTTAGGTGTATGAGCCAACATTTTAGTGCCAAAACCTAATCAGTTTATATACAAATTCACATGACATATCCCATGACTCGCCATCTTGTTTTTGGGCAGTTTGCTGTCAAATTGAAAATTTTCAATCTTGCAAATTTGGTGCAATTGGAAATAACGTCTTATATATGCCATATATAACAATATTTATAATCATTATTCTTAAATTGAACTTACTTGTTTTTGTACATCTGCGTCGCTCAAAGCCATTTTTGCGAATTTTCCTTCTTACTACGCACAGACAAAATAAAAAACTTTATAGCTTGCCGAATGAATTAACGTTCCCGGGGTGTAAGCTGTAAATTTAAAACAATTTTTATTAGGACTTTTTGTAGAATTGCATTTATATTTAATAAGTCACATAGAAAAAAAATTAAAAGTATTAAGTAAAGCAAAGAAATTCACTTGCGAGGAGAATAATGAGATGTGTGCACTCCAAAAGTTTTTCACCCGTCTGATTTAGCTCTCGTGGTGTTTTTTCAATCATATGATTAGGGAAATTCTTATTCGAATTATTTTCTTTCGTCAAAATGTTCGAAATAGAATGGGAAATATAATTCCCTTACAAACAATATTGTACACTATTTTTATAAACAAAAACTAAAATAATTACAATTTTCTTCAATGACAACATATTAATTTTTTTGTCATTTTGGAGAAGTTTTTAAATCCAAAAATTTTATTTATCAAGTGTATATAAATATATTTAATAAATATGAGATATTAATTTTTGTTACAGTGGAAAAATTTTTAAATCCAAAAATATAATTTATTCAATTTATCAAGTATGTATATGTAAATATATATAATGAATTTAAATAGGCTTTAGTGAATAAAATATTTAAGATTAAAACATAAAGTAATAATATTCAATACCTTATATTAAGTATCGTCTACGTGTTGAAAAAAATTTGTGAATTTATATAATATCTATAAATAACTATATGTTGAAAAAAAAATGAATTATATTATTATATATATAATTATTATATAATAATTTTTTTTTTTTTTGATATCATGATATCTCAACCGGAACCAAAAAACGGTTATTACAGCTAAAGTGAAAAACTAAACCAAACTGAATAAATTTATTTATTTATTTCGGTTCAGTACATTCGTCATTCTTTTTCAATTGTTAAAACTTTAATTAATGAAAGAAGTTCAAAACCAGTTTTTATTTAAAAATAAATAATATATAAGGAAATAAGACTTTATAGCTTTGTTTTATATTAAAACACAGTTGGAAATAAATTGCATAACGTTATCTAGTCAGTTATGATGAATATGATTGATTATGTATTTAATAAACCGTTAAGTAAAAGCAATTTAAATTCAAAGTTTGAGAATGTAATTATAACTTAATCATAGAAGAAACGAATAATTTATAAATTGTCAAGAGTGATTCTTCATTGAATCTCTAGGCTGTCGTCATTTTTATAATTCTCGCTAATTTCTAAATAAATAGTTCGAACTTATAGTTGTCAACAGTGGCATGAGACCCAAGACGCTCAATAAATTTGTTTGTTACAAAAAATCCACCTAGTTGCAAAATATGTTGCTGTATAAGCTTAGTTGTGATCCCAAATTCAGACATAGCAGCATAAAAAGTGCTTTCAGTCATAGTGTCAAACGTGTCTTCAAAATAGATAGTGTGTTCGACAATATTTTTTCTTGGGTCTTTTCCAGGATTTGAATTAATCTGAATATCTGGTCTATGGTATGATGAATTTGTCGGGTATGAAGCCTAAAGTTGATTGTTGACTTTAATCTTTTTCATGATACATTTGACAGAACCTTATAAGTTAAATTTAAAAGACTGATCCCGCTTGAATAGGCGCAGATTGCAGATGAACTTTTTTGTGAATTGATCGAAGACACTTCATTCTCTATAAAAATTTAATACAAAATGAAAGATAATTTTTAAAATTATTTGCAAAAAACTTATTGCAATGATTTGATTATAAAATCAAAAACAATAAAAAGAATTTGACTATAAAATAAAATGCTTGATTTTTATCATTTTTTATATTTCAATAAATATGATTTATTACATAAAACAGTATTTCTACACGTTGACGTTTCATAGAACCTTAATGAACTCATGGAATTACATTATTATAAAGTTAACAATTAATATCATGTTAGTTGATTAAATCAGTTTTTAAATATTATTTTGGATGTCTTTTTTCCTAAATATTTCGTTGTTAAATTTTTTCTTATACTATTTAGAAACACTCAAGACTATACAAACAAAATTATGCGTATCACTTTCTTAAAAAAAGATATTTTAAGAAAGTACGTGTATGGTTTATAAGTTCATTTAGATTATAATTCTTAAAAAATATTATTTGAAATATCTGTACAGATTTGATATAACACAGTAATTAGGCTATCGTACTTAACTTATTTTCGGGTTTATCTCGATAAGCATATAAGCAAATTTGTTGTATAAAAGTCATATAGGCTCTATGCAAAGATGTGTAAGATAAGCGCAAACTTATTTTTAAGTTTCTAAAGCGCGTATTACACACCAAAAATTATCAAAAATGCTTGTCGTCGCTTTCTAATACATATCAAGCTAGTCCACTTTATTTTAAATACGCCACAGAGAAAAACAAAGCACCCACCTCTTTAAACGTGTATGTACACATGAAAATTTTTTCTCACATTTTTTTGTGAAATACGAAATTTCTTTATGTATTAGTAATATTCGAATTTTTAAAAAAAGTATTGATGGAAATCAAAAAATTTGGATTTTTCCTCAAACTTGCTCATGTTTTTTCTTATAGAATCGGATTTTTGTCGGCCTACAAAATTTCATTTGTTTTAAGAAATGAAAGCGAAAACATCGTTGTAATGCACGGATGATTTTATTTTAATTTATTTTAATGTACATATATTTGTTGTTTTTTGCTGGGGCTAGTCAAAATAATGTCCACTAGTTTGATGTATAATAGCAAGCGACGAAAAAGATTTTTGATAATAATTTTTGGTGTGTAATACGTGCTTAAGGGGTGTAATACGTGATTGCAGTCACATCACAATTGTTGTTGTTTTCAATGCAAAATGAAAATTAAGATTATCAGCTCATTTCATTTTGCATTGTAAGCAACAACAATTGGGTGAGTATATTGTGATGTTTGGTTTAAATTATGATAAACACATCGAAGCAATTAAGGTGCGAACCAACACAAATTTGAAAAATGTTCAACTAAAAGCCATTTTTATTTTATATATATATTTCTTCAGTTCATTAGAATGCTAAGAAATCATATCGAAACTTTAATTTTGAATAAAAAAAAATTGATTTTTGTTTGTTTTCTTATTTATCTAAACTGTAAGTTCGCTAAACTGTCCAAAGGAAAATAAGTGACTAACGTAAGATATACTAAAGTTTAATATTGAATTCACTCTATAGTTTTATTTTTAATTTTAGCTGTCAAAAATATTTGGTTTGCGTTGATAAACAAAAACAATTGGCAGCTTAAAATAGAAACAAAACTCGCTTGAATGCAGTATAAACATATTACACGACGATTATTCATTTATTATACATGCTTAACATGTAAATTTTTTTAGTTACTTTATAGTGCAACTCTGTTATCATTCGAAAATTCGACCGTCAATTTTTCGAACATCGGACATTTTCGTTTTTGTGTTTGTATTCGTGCAAGTGCTTCAGAAAGATTTTGCGGAAGATCTTATATTGTGTTTAATTTTGGGGCAATTTCAACAGAAAAAATTTGACTAAAAGCACATTAAACGCTTTGTAATTAGTTAATAATTTATTGTGTGTAAAAGCCAAAAAATTTTCTATGAAAATTTTGGTTTCACGCGTCAAATAAATGCGAAAGATTCGATTGAATTTTTCACTGTGTTCGGGTGAAATTTCATTGAACTAAGAAAAAAAAATAAAACAAGGCATAAAAGTCACAAGAAGTGTGCAAAGAGGAACGCAGGCAATACGATTTTTTTATTTACAATAAATAAAAAGTAACAAATAAACTGTATGCGAAAAAACGCGCAACATTAATTAAAAAGTGAACAATTAATTCAGAACTGTAAACCATAAGAAATACTCATAAAAATAAATACACAAGCCAGAGTGAATACGAGGGTCGCCGAATAGTATACCGACCACAGTGCACGATTTGCGCAAAGGCTCAGAAAAAAGGAAAAAAATCCTTTTGGTATATACAACTCGCACCAACAGCGCACTGCCTACAGTTTTGTTGCAATAATAACTATTAACTTATTGACTTGTGTTTTGACCAATTTTGTGACAAGTTTGATAAACTGAAACGGGTTGTTTAGAAGTTGTGGTTTATTTTTGTTCTGCTGCACGCACCACATTGACGGTGGTTCAATTGAAGAATAAGGAAAGTATAAGTGAGGCGCTCTGCGTCACAATTTGCAAGAGCATTTAAGTGCGAACGATTCAAATACCACGACGGTACAAAGTGTCCTTCGTCGCTTTGGAATGTTAAATGCGGTGAATGGTTGTAAAATTCGATTGAGCCTAGCAAAAGTGAAAAAAAATTTATTAGGTAAGTGGAAATTCTTTTCTGCTGCTTACTAAATAGAAATTAAAGGCTTTAATTTTTTAATAGTTGCAATTTTCAAGGGAATTCTGAATGAAGTGGTATATACTTTGGTTCACAGCTAAAAAGATACGAATAAAAGAAAATCCACAAGTCTTTTTTATTATAAAACTAATAACCAAAATTATTTCCAAAACAACGAAATTCTTTTTACAGAGTTTCAAACTAATTGATTTTTAATATAATTAGAATTCTTGGAATTCTCAATAACATTAATCTTACAGTTCCTTACATTACTTATATGGTAAACTTTCAATCAGAGTTATACGCATCACTTTCTTTAAAGATTTTTTAAAAAAATATTTATATATTTTATATTTTTTATTTCTTTTGAAATACTGTACTGATTTGATATAAAACAGTACCCGACCCGACGCTGAAAATGCTTTGCGTATTATTAAAATAATTGATTTTTAATATATTTAGAATTCTGGGAATTCTTTACAACATTAATCTTACAGTTCCTCAAAACGCTCATTTCATATCTTAGATGCCTATGAAATATACTTGCATAGTTCACTTTTCTCTGCTTAAGAATAGATATAAATAAGAAATATGATAACAATTTCCTTCAAATACCAAAGTAACCATTCCATCCACACTGCATTTAAATAAGAAAAAATATAACGATTTCCTTCAACTACCAAAGTACCCATTCCATCCACACTGCATATTTGTATTGTAATACATTTTTACCTGCTTCACACATTTCCTGATTAAATTACAACTACAACTACATAAGGAAATTCTTTCTTTTACCTGTTCAAAAATTTGTAAACCTATTTGGAAAAAAAACCTATAATTTTGGAAAAAAAAGGTGTCTTTAAAAAGCAAACACCTAGAAAAATTTTCACAAAAATTTTTCCTTGGTAAAATGTCTGTATCTATGTTTTTATTTTTAATACAAATATAAAAAGAGTGTAGAGAAAATTAGTTGTTAAAAATCCTATGTACATAAACATCCCTGCCTATTACATCCGAAGGGACAGCCACTACTATTTCATAGCATGCCATACTGTGACCACTCTTCTACAAACATCATTTATCAATTATTGCTATCGTTAGAGTTTTAGCATTCGCAAGATAAGCCAATCAAGTCGCTTATCCCAAGGGTAGTGAAGCTACGAGGGCCACAAAAATATAAGCAATATGTCAATAGTTTATTTTTAGACATTCCATCTTAAAACAATTTTAGAGAATTGAATCATTTTGTTTTTATGATTTATAAAATGTAAAATGGCGCTAAAATAATATTAATTTACCATTTTACGATAAGTATTTTAAATATTTATATTTTCTGGTCTCAGTTCATTATTGCATTACTAGAAATTTATGACATTTCTAAGTTCAAAGAAATAACAAAACCGTTTATTGGAACTAATTTGTTGAAATAGGTTTTGTTTATATAAAATTTTATTTGTGTAAAAAATAGTCCCAGCTACTTCTGGTTTTATCTCTCAACAACTGGAATTGGATCGATTAATAGTTTGAATATAGTTTATAATGTGTGTTAGTACGAATTTTCTTTCGAATTGTCATGCAAAACTAAGAAAAATGTTAACTCAACAATTTAGAACTGTAGGCTGGTACTTTATATTAAATGTATATGTTTGAACACTGATGGCCTATGTAAGTGAAGTGAAATAATTTATTTCTTACTAGATATGATTTCAAAATAGTATAACAATATTCATACAGTGTGATAAGTATTTATTCATTCTTACATCTACGGTTAGGTGGTCCATTTCAATAGAACGCAGTCAAAGCTATTTATAGATTATATGATGGGCCACGTTGGCCTACATTATCGTTTCAACACGATAGAGTAGTCCAATACAACAAAATTTCACATCTGCCTGGAGTCACGTAAGAACATAACACTTTTTACATTCGTTGTGACTGTCCTGCTTTTATATGTGCCTGTTATTAGAAAATCCTGAACTAGAAACGATTGTCTTTCATTTGAGAGAATGACAATCTTGCCTATTGTTACGGATTGCCAACATAAATCACCCACCTACTATGTTCGCAGCAGCGGCGAATATAGACACATTTAAGGGGGTGGGTTTTGACATTAAGTTCGAATTGTGCCTCTTTTGAAGAGAGAGTGCGATATGATAACAAAATGGTCAGATATATTTAAGGTACAGAAAGAGTGGAAAACAGTTTTGAATTTTCTTTCTTTTATGCGTTACTGATTCGTAGTTATAACGCATATATCAGTGTAGTGTAGAAAAGTTGTTATATTGTTTAATTCTAAATGTGTCTGTAAATTCTTTATAATTTATTTTGTTAATAAAACAAACATCATTTCTAAACATATTTTTACTTTGTGTATGTTCTTGTTAACATAAACATTAGATTAAATATTTTTTTATCAATTTTAAGTTTAATAAGATATCAAACAGTTGGTTTAAGTTCTAAGAACTGTTGTAAACACGATTCTATGATTTATTTTTCATAGTACAGTGTCTACAACTATTTTCTTTAAGAGTTATGGGTTTACATCTGTGAAAATTTCTTCTTTTAGTAAGTATAAACCGAGTCAGCTCATGATTTATACTCTAATAGCTGTTTATGGGCATTACTTTTAAAAAATTTTTGATAAATTAATTTTTCTATGAAACAACATAAACTTTGTGTAAACTGAAGATAACTCATTTTTTACTTTTGTCTCTACAAAATGGAGTCAACGGCGCAACGAAATATCGCTATATATTAGGTCTGTTCCACGAGCTACTCATAGTAACACATGAGTAAAACAAAAATAAAATTTACACAAAAATACTTGAAAATTTGCTGGTGGAACGCGCTTGTGTATACACAGTGTTTACTCAAAGTTACTATGAGTAGCTCGTGGAACAGACCTATTATGTAGTATCAGCGCATAACGTTTTTGTTTCAAAGGTGCATTTCACAGTAAACTCTTGTCAAAACTCATAAATTCGTTCTCATTCGTTCAAGAGTATTAAGATATTAGATAGTACTTCTCCGAAACTAATCTTCGATATTTTTAAAGTTGGTAAATAAATGGTATTCTCCGTTTCGTTTTAGTATTTTTTATATTAAATGCAGTTTACCAGCATAATTTATATTTGAGCGAATCGTCTGCGCAAATACACTGCATGGAGTTTTTTACGATTTAGTCTGTATACCACATATTTATTTAAAAAATTAAGACTACTAACTGATTGATATAGGAGCTATAAAATGTCAGTTTATAAAAATAATTGTTAGTTTATAGAACACGCTATATAAAGAACATATAAAACAGTTTCACCTAACACTTATTAAAGTGCAATACAAAATTTAATTGAGAAAAATAACCAGTAAATAAATTAAAAACGTCAATTCCTGCTAATGTTTTTTAGCCGTCACCAAATGGAAAAGTAATTTCAAGAAAATCATTCTAGTAAATTTCGAATTTTTGCTCTTTCTTATTATAAGGGTTGTTTCAAGTTTCTTTCATTTTAGGATACATTTTTAATGTGATTAAGGGTGATTCTTTAAGGCGTTGACTGAATTTATTACATACACATCTGATATATTGTAAATATGCAAAGAACATTATGGAACCGTCATTAGATTCAACACAGGGATGTTTAAAAAAAAAAAAAAAAACAGGAAAGGAAAGCATAAAAACGAAATAAAGTTTTAATTTTTCCGTCACGAAATCATAAAGGTCGTATGTATGAATAAATAAATGTTAATAATTAATATGAAATTAAAGTGAGAGTCTTTGTGTGTACCATGTGAACTTGACTTAACTACAAACGCAAATAGGAATTTAATTGCTAGTAATAATAACATAACTTGATATCAACAACAAAATAAGTTCTATAATTCAGTTCCGCAGTACAAATTGATATGAGCTTCAGAGCAAAAAGTTTCAGTGAGTTCAGCTAATATTACGTGTTCGTTTATTTTAAACTAATTGAGTCAAAATATTGTGAAGTGAAAGATGGGTCACTCCATTTTAATATAATGGATGAGTCATAGTGAAACACAAGCCTAATCGATTTGGAAAGGGCTTCAACTTGATCCTACAGTCTTTACCTTAACATTTTTCCTTTGTTAATTACATTTCATTTGTATTTTCTGTCCCCATTTCCTGTTACCGAGAAATTGACACAATTTAACAATCTCCAATCCAGAGTAGTGTTTTTTGACAGTATTAGATTATCAGTTTTAATTAAAATAAAACTACAAGAGGAATGTATAGTTTAATAAAGTTTATAAATTATCAACACTCTTGAAATAATTAATATCTTAATATCTTAAGATTCTTAAGAATCTTAATGATTCTTACGAGGCTTATAATCTTAACAACAACTCGAAAACGTTAAAAGAAGTCATTATTTTTTTTATTGAAAGTCATATATCATTGTATTTTGTCCATATTTTAATAATTGTTTCGTCATCTCTATTAAAACGTTAAAAGAAGTCATTATTTTTTTTTATTGAAAGTCATATATCATTGTCTTTTGTCCATATTTTAATAATTCTTTCGTCATCTCTATTAAAACAGGTGCTCTTAGATTGATTAACGCTCATAGATTAATCAACTACCTTATATGCGTATGTCTGTTATCAAAACCGTCCCTTTTAAATACGAAAATCTATTGACGTTCTGGTTGCGGTTCACGTAAAATAAGACTCTTATAGATATGCTGATTGTTCGTTGCTGGTACAGAAACATGTTAGGGAACTAAAATTTCTTTTTCATTGCCTCTTGTTACAGTTGTTAGAAGAATGTGCTTGACATTAGCTTAGTCATTGTTCTGCTCTTGCGCAAGGTATAGTAAATATGCTAGAGACCTATTTTCTAGAGTAGTGTTTCTCAAAACTGTTCATATTATCATCCACCAACAAATCTTTGTTGCCTTCTACTTCTTCATTATATATTAACATAATCATGGCTGTAATGTCAATAAAAATTATAGCTC